AGTCCAACATAGTATCCATGGAAACTATCATCTAGTAGAATCTGGTGACGAGTCCAGCAATCGAAGTAAGTAATTTTCTATTGTATGTTGTACTGCAAGAAAAGTGTTTAATTGAGTGACTGTGGCAGAAGCAAGACAGGACATACTATAAGTAATTTCAACCTCGGAAAATTGTTAAGCAAATTTAGACTCAGTGATCACAATCTAGAGATTGAACTAGGGAGGAGGAACAAACCAAAAATCTTGTTAGATGGCAGAACATGTAAAAGATGTAACATAAATTCTCTTGATGATGAGAAGCATTTTATTCTTAAATGTCCTTTCTTTAAAAGTGAAAAGACTTTTTGAAGATTGTGATCTCAAGTCTAATTTACCAGATGATATTTGTCTTGAGATAATAAAAAATGCAAAAGCACTTTCATTATACCTTATATTTTAGATACATAAAATTTGATTTTTTGACACCAAAATCATATTCAACATGCACAGACCAGGAAAAAACAAGTTAATGTGCATCTGTGCCATTTTGGGTGACAGAATTTTGTAAAAAATTTCATAAAAGTCTTTCAAAACGTTTCAGAGTTATGACATGGCACACATTTTTAGCATTTTTTTGATTAAAAATGTCCAAAATTAGGCGAGGGTTCTCCGAACCCGCCTATTCACATAGTTCAATTACCCACCGTAGACTCCGGTCAGTCAAAATGACTATTTTGAACTGTAGGCAGAGTCAGGCGCCGATAGGTGGCGGGTTTTCCGAGCAAACAGAAAAATGATGAAAAGTCTTTTCCCAGTCCGGGATGAAACACTGAAAAATCACTCACCACCCTAGTTAAGACCACACAAAAGGGTGGTGTCTTGCCTGTGCTGTCCCCAGAGCAAGAAGCCAAAATGCTGCTACGGTGACATGGTTCGGTGTGCCCAAGAAAGCTAGACCACAAAGCGGGACCTGGGAGCTTCCAGGGAGATGGTAGAGAAATCTGTCCGCATAAAATGCAGAGACTGACTTATTGCCTATGCGCAGGGACCCTAGCGGTCGTTCGGGCTGGGTCAGCAAACCAAGACTGACCCGCTACGACGAGACCCAACCTAGAGAGACCCTTTTCAATGAATTCAATGTCTCTTAGATGGTACATTGTAGTTGATAAAGACGTTTTGCATTTTCCAGAAGCTTGCCCTCCATGTGTGCTCGAGGGGGGGGGGGGCTGACGCTAGCACTAGCGAGTTAGCAATCGCACAGACCTCATGCGCTTGTACTTGGTGTCTCTGCCAGCTCTGTGTTGAGGAAGTCAAAGTATTATAGACCTCTAATACAGTCGCAGTAAACCACCTGGTTATGGAAGTTGGGGAGGCCGGCCTATCCTGCCTGCCTGGGCCATAACACAAAGATATGTGCCTGGCACCCCGTTCCAAATTCTTAGTACGGTTTTGTGGCAACTCCGTGCTCGAACCGGGTAGAGAAGCAATTCCTCCTGACCCTCCGGGCAGACAAAATTTGACAGTCGGGGGATGACGATCGGGTGAGGATCGTGTCCTGGGATTTGGTTCTAGGCGAGAAACCTGATTCGTGTCTTTAGCACAACTTGATTGTCCATAACGGTGGTACATCATCTGAGAAAGACAATGCCCCCAGCTCTGGCCGACGCCTACCTGAGGCGATGGCCAGTAGGAAGACTATTTTCCACATCAAAAATTTGAGTGGTGCCGATCGGAGAGGTCAAAGGGTGCTCTGCTTAGAGCAGACAACACAGCCGACAAGTCCCAGTTGGGCGGCTCCCTTGTAAGGGGTCTTGGCGTCTGGAAAGCAGTAAATAGTCTCCTAATAATAGGACAATCGGCTAGTCTTGTTCCCATACGTTTTGAGTGGTGGGGGACAAGGCCGACCTGTAGCCAACGATCGCTGCGTAGGACAAACCCACTTTGTCAAACAGGTGGACGAAGGAGCCTGCTACCTGGCCAATAGAGGGATGGTATGTATCAATCTCCCTTCCGCTACACCAATCAGTGTATGCTCGCAGCCTAGAAATGTAGGCCGCGTTGGTGGAATCCCTGTTCGCCCTGATCAGGACGTTGGCAGCCCGCTCAGATAAGGCTTTCGTATGTGCGGGTCGACTGAGAGCCTCTATGCGTGTAAGTGATACCTGCTGGGCTTGTTGGTAGTTGGGACGGCAGGTCCGATAAGTACGGAAGCACTGCTGGTGTTTCAACTAGCATTTCCGACAGAAGTGGAAACTAGGCCTTGCTTGGCCAATTGGGTGCGACCAATGATAATATGCAGGTGTGCACCTGTCAAAGTTTTCTAGCGGGAAGGGAGGAAAGGCGTACACAACTAAAGTGGGTCCACGGAGTTAGCAAAGCGACTCTGGCCCAGGCTCCTGGAGTCAGCAGGAGTGTTACATACGTCGGGAGCTTGGTGTTCCGGGGTGCATCGGTATTTGCAGTCTAGTGGGGCTAGCCAGTCAAAACGGTGGATGGAGAGAAGAACCCTGAATGGTGTCTCCATGTGGAACCGATCGAGGTGCACATACTGATTCAGTCTGCCTAGGTCCAGAACTGGACGCCCGCCACTTGTAGATTTGGTACTACAAACACATTTGGGTAGAAGCCTGGACTTAGTTCCGGCTGATGTACCCTGTGTATGGCGCCTTTTCCCTAGCAAACTGCTACTTCCTGTCTGATTGAGTCCCCTGGCAGTGCCCAACAGGGGAGACACTGACGGGGGGAAATGGAGATTTCAGCGGTATCCTGTAACAGGATGTCACCACCTGGAAAGATCCAGGGATCGGTCACTCGCTGTCTCCAAACCGGACTACACCGGCGCAATCTGTGTACGACAGGGATATGTGGCCATGGGTTCGGCATTTGTGAGGGGGGGGGGGTGCTCCCTTCCCCCATGAGGTGAGTTCCCCAAGGCCTGAAGAAGTCACTAAGTTGTGACCTGGCCACTCGCCGAACACGGTTTGACAAATATGTGGTACCGGGGTCTGGGAAAGGAGCCTTGGAATCCGGTTGGGGGCGCTTTGGTCTCATCCCACGCTATGGGGTCTGATCCAGAAACCACACCGACCGGGTAGCGTTTGGTCCAGCGGGGAAGTGTTTTAATGTTTTCCCCACCCGGGGCCTTAAGGGTTACATCCTCTGCGGCTGACCAACGTCCACCCATCAACACCTTTTGGGTGCTCTGCGGCCCACTCCGCACTCTGACGGACAGGGAGAGACGTGCCGACGGGGTTGCTTTGGATCTCAACACCCGTGATCCCATAAGCATTGAAGCAACTATAGGTGGTCGCCTTAGGATCAAGGGTGGGGGTATTTACATCGTATCACTGGGATCAATGATACTTCGCATCACCCCAAAAGCGTGGCTCACCGAGTTACGAATGGAAGACTCTGAGGGACCACCCGGAGTACCGGCTGTATCCGACACGAGCGAACTGCGTTTCATTTTACTTTAAATATGTGAGAGGGAGCGTGTTCGACTGTGTGTCTCATGACAGGGTCGGTTCCCTCTGGGGACGCTTGTGGTTAAGTAAGAAGGGAGTCAAAACCCACAGCAGAGACCGGACACAAGGATAAATTTGTTACCGTTGTACCGTTACCGCGTGACAAACCCTAGCTGTCTGAAAGTAGGGGAGGTCAACGTGTGCGCTGCCCTGAAAGCCCTGCCCGAGTCCTGGTGCAATTAGCCTGAGCCTCGGCCTCACCCAAAAATAGTGGGAGAGCCGCGGGTGGGAACGGGGGTTCCCCGGAAAAGACGTGTTTGAATGCAAACACAGTGGAGACAGCTCGCTCCGACTGAGTCTGATCTACCCGGTCTGCCAGGGACGCAATTGCCCCGACAGTCCTTCGACAGTTCTTCGACAGTGCTCAACTCAGAGGCAAACCCGGCGCTGCGCGAGGAAGGGTCCACAAAGGAACCCGCAACGGGCCCATAGGAGGAAAGCCTCCAGGGGCACAGCCTCGCTGCAGCCGGTAAAATCGGGTAAACCACCACCTGAAAAAACACGAGGATGCCCTCTGATCAGTGGGGGGAGACCGAGAAAAATATCGGTACCTCCACCATCGGGCCTCCTACTCGACGTCCCGGTACAACCGGTAGCCGAGAGTGCGGACTTTCCACTCATGCCAAACACGCAACTCACTTTAACCGATTTGTTTACTGGACGCGCGACCTTGCTGTGACGCGGTCAGTCTCAGCGATTTTGATGGCTCTGAAAGAAAATCTCAGGCCTCAGAACCCCGAACCCCGCACGCAGCTACGACAAAGTATCTCGGATGCGGGTTCTATGCTGGTAAATTCTGAATATAACCACTGCACAGTCGACTCAAAACACGAGGAGACCAAAAAGAAAACAGCAGCAAGTCCTAGTGCTGTCATTACATCTATATATTGCTAAATACATTGTAAATAAAAGACGACATGCATGAGGGAAAAACAAAATACAGTTGTAAAAGGTGTCGCCGCGAAACCAACAAGTGGTTACGTAGTGGCGTCAGGTTTTACTTTCTTTGTTGTGAAAAATACTACACACAAATACCAGCTACAATGTCGGATGCCGTGCAGCGGCAACAACCCAAGCTAGAAACCCGGACAGGAAAAAAGGCAGGCGATCCAGCAGAGCCACTAAAACTAAAAAAAAGTAGAGTGATTGTATAGCCGTCTATGGCGCTGCCATATGGGCTTGGTCACGTGGTTCGTGACGTAAAGGAAAGAAAATCTTGGGGTCATGGGGCTTCCCCTGACCTAGATTCTATCTCTCCGTCACCGGCAGAATCGCTGATTAATGCCTACAGTTCAAAATAGTCATTTTGACTGACCGGAGTCTATGGTGGGTAATTGAACGTAGTGAATCGGGAGACCTTTTTTGACCATAAATACTTTGAAATATGCAATACTTTATACATATTATTTTAGCACATTTGTACCACTTCATTCATTTCCAAGATACAATGTATGAACGAGGATGCACGCATGAACAAACATGCACAAAACCAAAGTTTTAAGCCTCCGTTCCAGCAAATCCATGTGCAGCAGGGTAATAACAACTACCACGGTACATGAATGTGTAACAGGAATTAAATATCACCAACTTACCAGTCTGATGTCCTAACAGCATTGCTACATTAAGCGGTGAGCATCCTGTCTCGGTTTCATCCGTTAAGTCAGCTCCAGATCTCAGTAAGAAATGAACACACTTTGGGTGGTTGTTGTACACAGCATACAGCAATGGAGTACCTCCGTTCTGATGTAAAACAACATCACTCATTATTATAATACATCAATGAGATGCACAAATCAGGGTTCACAGACACACAGACAGAAACACCAAATTCATTATCTTGCTTTGCAGACACAGGAGATTAAAATGACGAGCATATTAATAACTACCATGCAATATACCGGTTACATCTAGAACCCGCTTTTCAGACTGCTGTGCAAAAAAATGCTATATTTTCCGCAATGAATTCTCGATTTGGCTCAAAAAAGGAACCCCATTTGTTGGCACAATTATCTAATAGTGATTATGACAAATCTTGAGCAGATGAAAATATAAAATGTCACTCAGCGTATTAAGGAAATCAAGCACAACTGTATTACTTTGCCATGGCTTTTCAGTGATTCATTGTTTATTTCTTCGAGTCTAAGAACATCTTTACAAATAATTTATATCACATTACATAATTAATGGAAGAACTAGTCAACAATGGGATGCATGTTTCTCTCCTTACCATATCATACGAATTAACATCGACACCCGACTGCAGCAATAACTTCACAATCTCAACGTTTCCCTGGCTACATGCAAACGCCAGTGCAGTTTCTTTTTCCACACTCTCAATAGATGCATCGGCACCTTTTTCCAATAAAAATTCCACAACCGATGTTTGGTTCTGTGCGCATGCCCACATCAGTGGCGTATGTCCATTTTCGTCTTGAATATTGACATTTACGCCAGCCAGGATTCGATCACTGAGGAATGTTAACTCGCCTTGTGCTGCTAATTCATGAGGAGTGAGCTCTGTAAATAAAATGTCAGAGTAAGTGAACTTCTCAGGACTTTTATATGTATAATATTCAACGCTAGTAATCAGCAAGGCACATTTCAATAGAAAATGAACAATATGTATACAGTTTTCAACAAGAAGTCGAAAATATCACTTTTTACTAAAAAAGTAAAAAATAATCATTAAAATTTGAAGATATCATCATCAAATGAACAAATCTGAGAGAGGTTTACCTGTAGTACCTATATATATATAATAGCAAAGCAATCAGACTTACGGTTTTCAACAAGTAGTCGAAAATATCACTTTTTATTAAAAATTACAAAAATATTCACCAAAAATAGAGAATTTGAGATTTTGACATGAAATGCACAAGAACCATCCAAGTTACTTGCATATCAAATTTGAAAACATTCTGACTTGCGGTTTTGAAGAAGAAGTTGAAATTGTAAAGTTGACGACGATGGACAATCAGTAATATGAACAGCTCTGCTGTGTTGATAGCGGAGCTAAAAAGCTCTTTGGATGAGCTTATAATGTCCTTACCTTGGAAAAGACATGGAGTTATCGTCTGTTTGTTTCCTCTTTGTTTGTTTGTAAACGTGGTTGGTTGCTAAAGGATAATTGCACCAAGAAAGTTTTATTACAACGAATACTAACTTGATTGTCAAAATTTATAATGGAGAAAAAATATCAGATAAAGCTCTATCTGACGAATCATAACTCATCTCTGAACTCAAGAGTTTGATTTTGCAAAAATTTATTTTCACAGATTAACCAAAAAATAAATAACAAATTTGTATTTGTCATGACTGATCTGATCAGAGAAAACAGAAAATATGAAAAAAAAAAAAGTGAAAAATAACCTACAATGTAAAGGGAGCATGAGACACAAGACAAACAAAAATTGCATCAACATAAAAACCCTTATTTTGAACTTCATCACATTGAAAAAATGCCAAAAAACAAACAAGAGACTGTATGCAAATATAACATCATCATAATTAGGGGTTCCAGGCAGGGGAACAAGGGCACAGCGCCCTCAATCTACAGTCAGTAAATTAAGATTAGCAGATAACAAATATAGAGTGTTACCAATGGCAACAAAGATGTGCTCCCTCTTAAATTGGTTTTCTAGAAAAATCCTTGCATAATGATACTCACTTTTAATGGAGAATAAGAAGATTTAGAGGAAGATGACGTACTGCTACAAACTCTTTTCAAAGATGGCGTCGGTGACTTCAATCTCCCGTCTGTGAAACAAATAAAAGGGGAAGTGTCACATATCTTCCATAAAGCAGCGATTAAAGCAACTAACAACTTCTGTTCTGAGAAATGTTGTAGTTAGAAAATATGAGAGGAACACTGATTGCAAATAGAATGAAATCCAACTGATAATAGGATCTAAATTGATATGAATAATTCCTACAAGAACCTTCTTTATTTATCAGAGACGATGTAACATTAAGTATTTACTTGATGCATTGTTTACTATGAGTTAGGATGGGTACTCACATACCTGGGAACAAAACTGATGCAACTTCCCAGTCAGGACTGGCTGAATCACCTTCAATATCGCCATGGTAACCATCTTCATTTAGAGATTTGAGAAGTGTGGAGCACATTGCCATATTTGGCTGTTGATTCCGAGATCCCACATTGTTATTGGTCGATGAATAGCCTGATATATTTGTCACTTTTTGAGAAGCGACCGCGTTAATAGCTGATTGTGATACCGACTGATTCCTTGAACTCACAATCTGATTGGCTGAAGAAGGCACGGCAATATTTAGTTGTTGTTGTTGTGTACAAGTAGTGGGTGGATTACCGACTGGAACCGAAATGGGTATATTAGGGCCATGTTGGTTTTGTGATCTTGAAATCTGATTGGTCAAAGAGTATACAACTGTATTTGAAGTTTGTGCAGCACTGACTAGACTGGTCACTGGTAATCTGACAGTTATATTAGTCGGTTGATTTTGTGGAATGTGATTGGCTAAGCTTACTGCATTATTCATTGACTGAGGAATACTGGAGACATTGTTAGCTGCCATGGCAACTGCTGATGCAGACTGTAAACTAGAAGAGTTTATGACCACGTACGATGTCTGTTGACTGACAGCGCTACTAAAAGTCGATTGTGGTGCTAGTTGCCTTGTGGAATTTGACACTATAAACGGGATTGCCATATTCGGCACCTGTTGATTTGAACTGACAATCTGATTCGTTGATGGACACATTACCATATTTGGAAGCAAGATACTGGTTGGTGCAATGCTATTGGCTTGTTGGCAAAACATCATATTTGGTTGCAGAGTAGTAGCATTCTGTGCTGTCGGCTGTAGCACCGTGACTTGCGACAACTCATTAGAATTATTTGATTGGGTCTTAGCAGTGACCTGTGAACGTGTTGTCACTGGAATGTGTGCCATGACTTGAGAGTTTTGCATGAAGTCCATAATTTCTTTATAAATTGATTTCTGTGACGATACCAATCAAGAAATCAGTCTTGTTCACTGTTCCATCTTGGAATGACAATTGGTTGCCTTACGACTAACATGTTCTGAAGGCAGTTTTCAAAATCTGTTTCAGTCATGATGAGGTCATTCAACATACCATGGCTGTTGTAAGTGTAGTAATGTACCAGCATATGATATTCGATAAAAACATTCCTAAAACCTGCAAAAAAAAATTAAAACAATTTGGACAACTTTTAAACTCCTGCATTTATCTACAAATCAAATTTAAACTGAAGTTTCACTCAACAATTACATCGTTATTATATAATTGATTGATTTTCTTGTGATAAGTGTCAGCTGTGACTATAACAATAAATATGCACTGAGTTATTATGATCATTATGATCCTGGGATTGTACTATGGAATCATGGGGCACCAATGTCTATGTTTCTAACACTTTTGTATTGTACAAAAATTTTAAAAAAAAGTATGATATTTACACTGAAGTCAACAAAGCCATGTAACAACAACAAAAGCATTGCCTTCATTTTTATAAATATTTCAATTACAGTTGAATCCAAGCAGCCAAGCAACAATCACAATGTCCCTCGAAAATGTAAAATGTTCCAGTGTTATCTTGAATTGAGAAATTTATAAATATTTATAAAAAGGAGATGAATGCCTTTGTTGTGCTGGGATTATTTATGAACCTAAATATTTATTAACTCGAATGGCAGTTATACAATGTATGACACATTGGCTGTTCTGAGATCATGTTGGTTGGTAGGAATAGGATTCCTATTTGAATTCGGAGGGGGGGGGGGCTTGAGGAATTTTGCAAATATTTTATTCACACATGTCTGGTGATAATTTATTATCCATGTTCTCCCAATATGCAGTCTTTGTGGAAAGCTTTCATCCAAGACACTTTTTTCTCAAAATCTCCCAGACCACCCCATTTTGTAAATGGGCGACCCCTTACTGTTCTCATAAGTTGCCGAGACCCCGTCTGGAACCCCGTGCTATGCACATGCAGGGAGTCTGCATCTTAGAAAACGAAAGGTCACCTTTAATTCATAATGATGGGGAAAACGTCTCTCGATTTTGGGAAATGATCCACAGGCCTCGTACAATTTGTGTTTCAACTAAGCTAAAGAATGGTTTCAGTCAATAACATTTACATCCAAAATCGGCATTATATTGAGCAGGGGACGACGAACTGTACGAATAATACGACTTACCTTCAGAATATTATATTTAAATCAACTTTATCGAATTGTATGTCGAAAAGAAACCTTGTCTTGAGCGCGAAAAAACAAACAAAAACAAAACAAAGAACAGGCCATCAGCACGGCGAGTGAGGACAGCTGTCTGCAACCCGGAAGTAAACAATGCGTGAAGTCACGTTGAAGTCTCGCATGGTTTCTTCTGCATTTTCAAGATGTCCGCGCCCATGAATTGAATGTTTCGCACGTGTATAAATATTGAATATATACATCGTAAATACGCAGGCAAAATAGTAATATGAAAAGGCCCGTACAAGAAGACAATAGGGCTTCATCAGAAACGTCAGAGGTAGGTCGAGAAAAAGTAAATTTCAAAGTCAGCATGTATTTTATTAAAACAGTTCACCTACCGTATCTACAATTAAACTCCACAAAAATAAACCGTGCAACACCGAAATCGACGTATGCTAGTTTCCATTTCTTTTAACCACGGTACTCAACAAATAGAGCGTTTCAGATGGTGTATGACATCTGATCATGGTATTTTGGTGTTTTAATCTTATTTCAGTGTCTCAAAATTACCTTTAAAACGAAGTTTTTATGCACTAGCAATAACTAACTCTCATCTCACTATCGCTCATGTGTACCGGTACATGTGTATATGACATGAACCCTGTCCCTGGGGTAGTTGTTTCATAAATATGCTTCCAAATAATTGGATCCAATGGTAAAAGCGTTATAATACTAACAAAATGACCGCCATAAATTTCAGCCATCTTTTTCTCAAAATTAATCTAGTGACCCTCAACATTTTAAAATCAATATATTAATCAGGAGTACAATTTAATGCAAAGTGAATAAATTTTAAAAAAGTGAATAAATTTTAAAAAAGTGAATAAATTTTAAAAAAGTGAATAAATTTTGGGTATATTATTGAGTAGACTTCTACCTCCACACACAATTATCCGGTTTTTAGTTCCCAATGGATATTGATTTGAATAAGGTTCCACAGGTTACACACTAAAGCACCATACAAAAATGAAAAAAAATTTCGAAAACTTCTAAGAATTACAAAAGTTGTTCAAGAATATTGCATAACTTCTTGTAAGAACCCACACTGAATTAAACATTGATCCATTGACACAGGGATCTCGCCAGCCCAACTGGAGTGCTGGTCGGTCATGAATATTAATGAGCTATATGAATATTAATTAGAAATGAATATTAATTCGGTCGCAGTGCAAATATTTTTGGAATTAAGACATTATATTTCACAATTTAGAAGATTTTGAATTTAAAAAATAAAATATATTCGAAATGTGAATGCTGCAGACTAGAAACAGAAACAAATAAATTATTGTTCTAATATTAATGTCTATTAAATAAAACGCATTTGAAACATTTCAACCAGGAATATGTTCACGATCTTATTTACTCCAAAAACATATATATTCACAGTAATGAAAGAACAAATAAAAAAAAACACAGACCCGTCATGATGTTTGTGACATGTTATTTGACCAGCATGTGTTCTTTCACCCGATGGGTCAAGAACGTCATTAACCAATCAGAATGCCGCATGATAATGCCGGTAGAACCCTAAGTTTTCCAAATGATAGTGATCATAAAAATTACATTGCGGAAGTAAAGTGATGTCGTAGCGCGATGTGTTGACATCGATTTCAGTTGAAAACTGCTTGATGGTTTTCGAAAGAGGTGATTAGCTATTTTTGACTCCCGTGTGCGAAGCACAAAGGGGAGTCTTTGCAGCTACTCTGTTTGTATGTCACTTTTTTTGTTCCACCCTTATCCCAAGAACCACTAATCAAATTTTGATGAAACTTGGTACATAGATGCTCTGGGCCAATGCGCAGATTTGATTAGGCTTTGGTAAAAATCTATGCATAGTAATTACCTAATTTGCATGATAATTAGTTAATTTTTAGCTGTTTCATGACTGCTCCACTGATATCTAAAGAACCAGTCGTTAAATTTTGATGAAACTTGGTACATAGATGCTCAGAACTGCATATTAATTATTTAATTTGCATAATAAGTCAATTTTCAGCTTTTCCACTGATATCTTAAGTACTAATCATCATATTTCAATGAAACTTGGTACATAGATGTCATAGGACACTACACAGACCTGATAGTTTTTAGGGTAATATCAGTACATATTAATTACCTAATTTGCATAATTAAATAATTTTGATATCTCAAGTAGTAATCATCACATTCCAATGAAACTTTGAACATTGTTTTGGATCAGTTTTTCCACTGATATATCAAGTATGAATCGTCACATTTCAATGAAACTTGGGACATAGATTCTGTAGGACTATGCAGAGACCTGATTTAGTTTTGGGGTAAATAATTATCTAATTTGCATAACTAACCAATTTTAAACTTTCAACTGATATCTCAAATACTCAAATACTAATCATCACATCTCAATAACATTTGGTACATAAATGCTCTAAGACAATAGAAAGACCTGATTAATTTGGGGTTAAAATCTATACATATTAATTACCTAATTTGCATAATTAAATCAATTTTAAGCTTTCACAGTGATATCTACAGTACTAATTATTCAATTTGATGAAACTTGGTACATAGATGCTCTAGGTCAATATGCAAACCTGATTAGTTTTGGGTTAAAGTCTATTATTTCCATAATTAGCATAATAATTTATAATTTTTTGGTTCTAATCACATTTCAATAAAACTTGGTACATACCGAAATACAGCGAAAATCGACGCAGCTCGACAATTGGGTCCTGACAGCGTTTGTATGTTTAATTAAACAGGCCAAAATAAACATGCGTCTAGACATAACAGCACACCGACTCGAAGAAAGATAGATACAATGTATTTACTACATTAGCAGTCGATGTGGATTATTCTAAATACAGGAAGTCACAGAAGGCGTTCCACAAATAAAATAAAATTAAATAATCATAATGATATCATAGTCTATAGCTTCGAGGGCACACTGGTGGTTGTGGTCGGTGAAGCGCACACATGTACCTGTAGGATATATCAATATCATGGTCTATTCTGTCGAAAACTGATAACTTGAAAGTTAGTTATTGTAATACATTTACTTCCCTTTTTTACCTTAGCTTTTATTACTTTCACCCAATTTGTAATTTGTAATGAATTTGTAATTTCATTACAGTGTAGTAAAACTGTATTATTATTATATTATTTATTTTACATGTTTTCAAAATTGTTTGCAGGATTCTGATGATGGCGACCAGATCGAAAAAGGTCATGTGGAGACCGTACCACCGACAAAGCGATCTAAATTGTCGAAAGCTGAATTGTATAAGCCACCAACAAATGTAGAACTAACAACACTGAAAGAGACGTCGGCTTTATACGAATCAAGTTTATTTCGTATGCAAATATCAGAACTTATAGCAGAAGTTACGCCGAAGAGCAAGAAAAACAGTTCCCTGGAGAAAGTGTTGCATTCTTTGTATGGAACACTTGATAAGCTGCCATCAGGCAAACAATATGATGTATGTTAGGAGGTCTTCTCTCTCTACTGTAATTTGTCTATTAGTAGCACATGCTCTAATGTAAATCACATATGTCTGTCATTAAATTAAGTCGTATTTAAATGAACCAGCATAAAATAATGCAATTGGGTCGAAGTCCGAAAACGGGGACTATTAATTTGGGGTCTGTTCGTGCATCTGTGCGTCCGTCCGGAGCCATTTCTCGGACATCCTTTGACTGATCTCGCTCAAACTTGACATACAGACAATGTATGCATTTTCGTTATGATTCAATTAAATATGGCTAACTGGCAGCCATTTTGTCCTGATATGGCCTGATTCATTTCAAAGTGTGTACATAACTACTATACTTCAAGATAACACAACACCATGTTTTGTTTTGAGATTTGATTAAATTTGTCGAAATGCCGGCCATTTTGTTTAATATCCTAAAATCACAGGGTTTCTCAGAGCTGAATAGGGCGATTTCAATCAAACTTTGTATGATAATCATGTATATTGGGTTACTCATGCGAAGTCGAGCGAAGCTTACAGTATTACTGATTGTCCGTCGGCGTCCGTCGTCGCTGACGTCATCTTTACATTTTTGAATTCTTCTTAAAAACCACAAACTGTATAGCTGTGAAACTTTTTAGGAAGGTACCTTGTGTGGTTCTCTCTTAGATTTGTTCATTTCGTTAAATGTTAAATTGTCTTATTTATAGCGAATATTTTTGTCATTTTTGGTCAAAAATGCTATTTTTGACTTCTTCTTGAAAACTGCTAGCCCAAATGCTTTGATACTTAGTATGAAGGTACCTTGGGTGGACCTCTCTCAGATTTGTTCATTTCGTGATGATATCTTTTATTCTCTAATTTTGATGAAAATTATATTTTCGACTTCTCCTTGAAAACTGCTAGTCTGATTGCTTTGATAATACATATCTAGGTACTATATGTGGACCTCTCTCAGATTTGTTCATTTCATGATGATATCTTCAATTCTCTAATTTTGATGAATATTTTTGTAATTTTTGGTGATATTTTCGACTTCTTGTTCAAAACCACAAGTCTAATTGCTTTGATGTCACATACATTTTTGTATATAGGTACTACATGTGGACCTCTGTTAGATTTGTTCATTTTGTAATGATATCTTCAATTCTCTAATTTTGGTGAATATTTTTGTCATCTTTGGTAAAAAGTGAATTTTTCGATTTCTTGTTAAAAACCGCAAGTCCAATTGCTTTGATATTACATATATAGGTACTACATGTGGACCTCTGTTAGATTTGTTCATTTTGTAATGATATCTTCAATTCTCTAATTTTGGTGAATATTTTTGTCATTTTTGGAAAAAAAGTGAATTTTTCGATTTCTTGTTAAAAACCGCAAGTCCAATTGCTTTGATATCACATATATAGGTACTACATGTGGACCTCTTTCAGATTTGTTCGTTTTGTGGTGATATCTTCAATTATCTAATTTTAGTGAATATTTTTGTCATTTTTGATAAAAAGTGATATTTTTGAATTCTTGTTGAAAACATCAAGTCCGGTTGCTTTGATACTATACATATTGTTCATTTTCTAATAATATCTTCAGTTCTTTAATTGAAATATGCATTGCTAACAGCGGAGCTATCTCAGCCAACTGGCTGCTTGTTTTTCTTCATTGAATGAAGTTGTGTGTTTGATTGAAACTTGATAGCAAACTGATTCTGACACTGACCACAGCAAATTGGACACATCCAAAACATCAAACTTGTTAAAAAATTCAATGCTATACATCATGACTATACAATGTTTTCAGCTTACCGACCAGTCATGGTTACCAGACGGAATAGAGGTGCCTATAATTCAGGAACCGTGCAATGGAAAGGGAATGTTTTTTTTTGAAAAGCCAGCTGCAGTCAAGGTTATTGGTAGTTACCTTCTTGAGACATGTACTAAGCCTAACATGCATGTAGATATTGTTCTACAAATACCCAAGGTAATGTATTAAATTGTTTCAAAATTGAAGATGAACAACATTTCACAACAGAATGCACCTTATATGCAAACAACAGAGACATTCTATATTCAATCAACAGCCAAATCCTGTATATATGGATTCCAAGATATGACAAACAATACTAAATTCATACAAATAATGAGTAATAAGAACACTTCACTAATCAAAGTAACCATAAAGTACATCGAACAGTGTTACAACATAAGGAATACATTACCAGCATAAATAAACAACATGCCATATTCTTACATATTGTAAATTGTCTTACTATTCACGGATAGTTTTATGTCCGCTCAACTATGTAAAAACTTTATTAACTCATTAACCAAAAAAGCAATGTCACATTATCTTTACGGTATTAATAAAGAATTCTATTCTATTCTATTCTATTCTACACCCATAGATGCAAACATTTTGTTGAGTGCTATGCTTGCTTTCATCATAAATTTGCATAAAATATTATCATGTGTTCGTTTCATTTGCGAAAAATTCATTTAACCATAAATTACAAACACAAATAAATTCCAAACTTTCTTTTTTCTAGGTTTGCCTTCAGAGAAAAGATTATTTAAATTTTGTATACCACAGAAAGAGAGCTCTCTATCTCGCCTGCATTGCACATCAGTTAAAAAATGTGGATTATCTTGAGAATATTAAATATTCATACATGAATGGAGATTATTTTAAACCTATTCTGATACTTAAACCATCAGGCAAGTAATCATTTTATTAGTTTGTCTAATGCTTTTGAACAAAAAATTTGTGATTAATTTGTCGCTCCTGTTTAGTAAGTTGAATGCTCACGATTGTCCCTAATCCATCGCCTGCTGACGTTATATGTAACATTCGTATCATCAGTAAAGGCTTTCGGCTGGCGATGTGTTAATCACTGACTGAATTAAAAAATATTACTTGGTTAGATATTCATTTTACCATGCTTTTAATTTTATTCAATAATCTTAATATGATATATTACATGTATAGCTGAAATATTTATTTATTTAAATATTTTTTTGATCTTTACTTTTTTCATCAGGAAAAATCGGCAAATCCTATGTCATAAGAGTGCATACATGTCTACCGGAATCATTTTGTAAACTCAGTATTTGCCACCCAGATAGGAACAATGTGAGAGTCGATTGGTTTACAGGAAGGCAAGGAGAGCCAAGTAAGTCATGTGACCACCAACCAGAACTATTTTTAGTTTTTGTAATAAATGCAAATAAAACATTTTTTTTCATGGTTGAATAAATATTCAGTTTAAAATGATATATTTTTTGCCTCTAGCGACCATGGCTATAGAAACCAATTCACATGTGTATGAATTGCTAGGACTAACAAAACTACTATATTGGTGCTAGTTAGTCAGTATATTAATTTTTGTTAAAACAAATACACAATGTATTGATAAATTTTTGGTTTTGAAAGTTTGTCCAAATCAGTCAAGTTTGAAGCATTCCTCTTGTTCAGTATACAATGCATCAATAATCCACATTAAAATTAGCAAAAATCAGTACTTTAAGCATCTGTAGAATTCTGATTTCAGATTTTTTTTTATGACATTCTTTATTCTCTATAGATACACCAACACCTCATTACAACAACTCAATAGCTATAGATCTATTTATGGAGCAGCATCTTCGTCATCTTTTCAGTGAGATGGAAGACTTTACTGGAATGAGGGAAGGTATCGTCTTGCTAAAAGTGTGGCTTCATCAGCGACAACTAAATAAGGTAACTTTTATACTATGTTAATTCACAATTACATGTATATACGTGCCAACAAATTTATGAATAATTTGAAGTATTTTGAATAAATTTGACAGATCTATGTTTTACTTTTTTTCAATTTTAATGTAATGTGATTGTTTTGTGGGTAACATTTTTAAAATCTCCATTAAAATGCATGTTCATGTCTTTTTGAAAATGATTGTACCAGGTGATCATCATGTCTGTATTTCAGAAATAGTTATGATTTTAATAATCATTTAATAATAAGCATGTGCATAGGGAGGGTTCAGACAACAGCAAATACTGTAGAATACTTTATTTTCGCTTGGAATTTATTTTCGCTATTTTCACTTAAGAAATGATTCCGTGAAAATAAAATCCAGCGAATATACTTTTTTTCCTATATTTCACATTAAACTCATCAAAAATCAGTGAAAATAAATTCCATACAAAACGCCCAAAAAGCCTTTTCAGCGAAAATTAATTCCAGCGAAAATAAAGTATTCCACAGTATTCACATAATGATAGGTCAGTTTTTAGAGATTCACTTCAGTTAGGAAATTCAAAATAAATCACTAAATTATGTGTTGTACTAGGTCGTAGTAACATTTTGTATGATGCAAAAGTACTAGCTCCAACTGCTAGCAATGTTTATGTTTATTGTTGTTGAATGAACTGCGTATAAAATTCAGTACTTGCAATGTATGTAAGACGAACCAGAAAATAGAAAAACGTTAATTGAACAGTATAAAAATGCACCGCATAATTGTTTATTTAGACAGGAGTCATATACTTTTTGTTGTTACCCAGTACGAATTAATTTGTTAGATCAAAAATTGATCTTTTAGAACCTTTTCCATAGGAATTCATGATAAAGCATTATTTAAAAAAAATAATAATATTAGTCAGAACTTGCCAATAATATGGGACAGCCATGAATGCACAACATATGTGGGTTGAGTAGTGACAGAATAATGTTACCAATGGTAAATTACTCAAATAGTCATTTTGCTGTTTGACACTTATTTTGTGCATAAAGTACTGTAAAAATGGTTAATCATTCACTGGGTTTTAATTTTGCTTATTTCGCTGACTGGAAAAAGCGCTAAATAAAAACCCAGTGAATATGTAAAATTTAGCATAGAACACATAGAAAATAAGAAAACACGTGAATTTAAACCCCACTGAATATGCCAGAAATGCTAAATCAGTGAAATTTAAACCCAGTGAAAATTAACAGTAGTTTGTGACCTTATTTTTTTACCAGAACTTTGTGAGAAACAGAATAAAATAAAGCCATCTGGTAAAAGTCACGAAAATCTGGCGATAAGTTTTAATGGTAGCAAACTCTTAAAGGGCAGTCTCTGGATGTAAACCATGTTACACATCAGACATGTATCCTACACATACTCTCAAATTTTAAACTATTGAATATTTCAATATTTGTGTCTGTGTTTTGTTTTTCCAGGGAGTTGGTGGATTTACAGGTTTCATAATGTCAATGTTGGTTTCATATTTATTGTCTTTGAAGAGATTGAATAAACTAATGAGCAGTTATCAAGTTTTGAGAAACACATTATATTTCTTGGGTAGGTAAGACATATTCAAAATAAAAATCGTCTTTTTAGTCCCCGTTCGGATGCAGTCAGAAAACGGGGACTTATGATTTGACCTTTGTGCGTCCATGCTTCCATGCGTCTGGACCTGTATCTCAGAAATGCCTGGACCAATCATAATCAAACTTCACACATACGTCATATATGGTATTATACATATGCACATCAATTTGTTTCATGATCTGATTCAAGATGGCCGAATAGCGGCCATTTTTGTGCTAAAAATCATCAAAATCAAGCATTTCTCCGGTTTTTACAGATGGATTTTGTTCAAACTTAGTATATACATTAGACATTATAGGGTCTAGATGCGAATAATTTTGTTTTTCAGATAAGATTCAAAATGGCCGACTGGCGGCCATGTTGTTTTAATGAATGTGGTTCTCGTGCCATATCTCTGACTTTCTTTGACTGATTATGTTCAAATCTTAAATATTCATTATACATCATGTTATGGATATACAGATATATTAGTTTGACAATCTTATTCAAAATGGCCGAATGGTGGCCATTTTTGTGCTAACAAATCATCAAAATCAAGCATTTTTCGGCTGTTTACTCATGGATTTTGTTCAAACTTGGTATATACATTAGACATTACCTGACTTGCTTTGACTGATTATGTTCAAATTTTAAATATTCATTATACATCATGCCATAGATATACAGATATATTGTTTTTTTGTGCTAAAAAAATCATCAAATATCAAGCATTTCTGGCGTTTATGAATGGATTTCGTTCAAACTTGGTACATACATTAGACATTACGGGTTCCTGATGCACATCATTTTATTTTTCAGATCAGATTCAAAATGGCTGACTGGTGGCCATTTTGTTTTAATGATTGGGCTTCTAGACCCATATCTCTGACATGCTTTGGCTGATTATGTTCAAATTTTATATATTCATTATACATCATGTTATAGATATATACCGGTACATGGATTCAAAATGGCTGATTTTGTTTTAATTAATGCTTTTCCAGAGCAATATCTCTCAATATGGACAAGTACTTGTTTGACGATCAGATACAAATGTCAATCATTTTAATGTTAAATAATCATGTTCCTGACATGGTTATATTCCAGCTATATTACTATAAACAAAACTATATATCTTAAATTTGATAACTAACATAGCTTGTGTTTTTCATCTTTTTAAATCCAATGCAACACTGAACCAAAATTAACTTTGTGATAATAAATGAATTAACACACATCAATATGTCATACAACAAAATGGCATATTTGATATCATGAAGATCAATATGGTTTACTGTAAAATACTTTATTTTTGCTCAGAATTTATTTTTGCTGAAGGGATATTTCAGTGAGAATAAGATTCAGAAACTATACCTTATAATTTAATTCATTTAATTTAAATAAATTCTATACAAAACACCCAAAATGCAAAAATTAATTCCAGCTAAAATAAAGTATTCTACAGTAGTACATTACATGAATTTATTATAATACTACTTTTAATGTGCAGTGATTGGTTTGTTCGGTATTAGGTCACATGACTTGATGTCTACATCATGCGTTAAAAACTTGTTTCTGCATAATGACCCCCCCCCCCTTTGACACAATCAAGAAATGCCTCTAAAATATGAGCATTTCTTATTATCCCAATGTGCAAATCATATTTCTACTGCTTTCACTCACATCTATCAGAAATAAATAGTTTCTGACCACTTTTAATGTCTTCTCACTGCAAATCAAATTTATTTGGACCATTGATATTGTTGTTGAATGCTCAAGACACTTTTACAAAATTAATTGCTATCACACACTGCTTATACTTTGTACATGGAGGCAATTGTATCTATTTAATCTTGAAAATGTGTGCCATCTCAACTCAAAGTTCAAGCCTTCCACGGATATTTTTATTTTCATAGTTTTGTACTAAGCAAAGGGTAGTCGCTTTTCTTCTATCTATTGAAAATAAAGCGTAACCTTTTCACCACCAGTTCCCTCTTTTGATCACAAATTCACAAAATACTATAGTCTGCATTTTCCTAAAGAAGATTGAAACAAAAATGACTGAATTTTTTGAGTAAAAGCTGAAAATTTACACAAACTTTGCCTGTTGTCTCCAAAATTTGGGTTTATTTCCAGAAATATTGAAGAATATAAAGAAAAAAAATGCAGAAAAATTTGGCTGCCTCTCTTTGTATTTATGTAATCTTTTTCCATCTCTACAGCTAATTCCGATTGGACAAGAAGAGGTATTAGTCTATGCAAACATGAAGATGATGAACCAATCACAGCTGACTATCACAAGCACTATGACGTAATATTCATTGACACATCTGGATATGTTAACTTGTGTGCAGATGTTTCTAGACTTGCATATTTGCAGGTATGATGTCATTTATTTAAAAATTTAATTTATTAAAAAAAGCTTTGTACAGATTGGACTCATTTCTTGTATGTGCTGTGTACACTGTAGCAATAATTAACATAACACAATTGATTTTCTCAGAAAATCTAAATCCTGTTGATATTGATGAACTGTAGTAAACGTTGTTCCATGGGATAGAGCGTATTCAGAACATATTGAAATTAGTACATTCATTTCATAAATCCAAGTTATCACGAGGGCAGATCCGGATTTTGATTTTACCTGATTTGTTCTATGTAAAAAAAAAATAGACAAAATTATTCAAATCTTCCGATTCTATGTGATTCTATATCTGCCTCTGTTTTACATGATCATTTATTGCATAGTTGCCATTGCTCGAAATTGTTTCAAAATGGACGTGACAAAAGATGACTTTGTACAAAGTTTATTACTTTAAATGCATTTATTGTTACTGGCATTCAATTTTTTTTTCTGGTTTGGTGCAATTTCATTGGGCGTTGAGCATAGAAACAATGAGTTCTGTTATTCTACATGTTCTTGTGGATTTAATTCAGCAGATTTTATTTATATTAATGTTTTTACCGTAATATTTCTTCAACAGAAGGTGAACATAGGAATACTGTAAAATCTGTATGAGAAGCCGTATCCCTAATAGAAGTCGCACCCATTCTTTTTGAATAATTTAGAATAAAAAATTCATCATTTCTCCTATTTGTAGATGCTCTAATAGAAGCCGCATCTCCTATGTTGCATTGCACCATTTTAATAGAAGCCGCGGCTTTTAATACAGATTTTACAGTAGTAGATGTATGACGTGCTGCACCAACTTATCTGAAAGGTGATATACATCTAATTGCAGCTTACAAGCAGTTCTATAAAGCAGTTTGATGATGTTAGTCTCACATCCTGTTATTCACTTCACACAGGTGAAACATGAAGCTGAACTGTCACTAAAATACATGGAATCCATTTCTGCTGTTGATAGCTTCCAAGCACTTTTTATGACAAAAGTGCCGTTCACTAGAAAGTTTGATCATATATTTCAGTAAGTATTTCACTTGGCTTTTCAATTCTAGTGTAATGTTAGACCTTATAGAAGAAATCTCTAAAACCTGTAATGGCGTTGTGTTGTCACAGGAAGCGCTGTCCCAGCACAGACCTGTATCATATGACGCCTTATTAGCTGATTTTGGCTAAAATAGCTCTCCGGCGCTGTTTTACACCAGTGTTTATACACGGAACTTGATACTTTTTTTCAAAGTTGCCGTTTAATTACATATTTTAGTGAAATATTGTTTAGTGAGTGAAATATTAATGTCATACATAATTAAATCTTAAAAACAACATAATAATGATAATCAAATTTGTTTCTGACGTTTGTAATTTTACATTTCAACTAGCTTGAAACATAACGTCCTTAAACACAATATAATCACGCGTACAACGCCTTCCGAACCAGACACTAGCAGCGTAAACTGATTGCAAATTTACGCAATTTTGAGTCCAGTTTATTTCTACAAAGTTTCATTTATCATTTTTTTTAAATAATCACTGAAATGATTAATTATATTTGAAGGCGATTGACTTCGAAACTCCCCTCGCTTCTTCCGCGATATGCATTAGATCAGCATAGAGAAGACGCTGACCTGCAGCGTCAATGCCTGTAATGGTGTTTTGTGACTTATTTGATCTAGGGGTAGGCCATCATTAGATGCACCATTGAAGGTGATTCTGATATTACCTCCATCTGTTGTACGCTTTGTTACAATAAATATATTTCATATATTGTGTATAATAATAATAGTACATGTAGTATTAAAATAATCCAAGTATGCTTTGTCACTTGTATGTAAACATAACGAAACTCAGTTAATAATTTAATCTAATTTAATTTTATTTAATACTTTCATTTAATAATTCAAAGTTCTTGCTATGCACAATTATTTAACAATTAACCCATTTTGTTCAGATTTGGTACAAATGCAAGACATAATGGTGTGAATATTTCTGGTGATCAGGTTTAATGTCTATTTAGATTGCTTTAATAATTAAATGCACTTTATTTGCAACCAGTCCTACGGAGTTTTATGAATGAATGAAGATTATTTTTCCAATGATACAAAAAATTCAAACTAGGGCAGGTTTTTTTTTTATGACATAAAGCTTTTTTAGGGTGTCGTATTTGGTTGGATAAGACAGTGAGACTATTTATTATTGTTCTGAATTTTAATGAATTCATGTTCACTATTCAAAAAGCATTCGCAGTTAAATTTCAAACACAGAGTCAAATGTGAAACTGGAACAATTGAACATTTGAAAGTTGTAGGAAAATTCAACATATATTTCTTGCAATTTTTGCAAGTTTAGTGCGTCAAATACTACAGGTTTTAGGAATGATCTGTGAGTGCAACTTGTGAAGTACAACTCTGAAGTTGAAAAAATACAATAACTGCTCTATAGATGTCTATGACTATTAATAATTTGCTTTCTTTGTTTCAGTGTCAGTAAGCTGTCCCATTTGCAGTCCTGCTGCAAGCAATTTGACGTGGAAGACTCCGTTTCTGATCATGGTGGCGACTTTGTAACTGCTGTCCTCCCTTCTATTGTGGAGATATTGGAGAAAGGAACGGGTAAACGAATTAAGCTCTTTGGTATGCACCAACCGCCACACAAAGAGGTAACGTAGATTTCTTCGATATTAAATACATAAAGCTGATTGTCTTATCCCTGGAAAGCCTTGATGATCATTTGCAAGTTTCTGCGTCACATGGTATTTTTGTACAAATAATTGTCAGTAGTTTTGTCAATGTTCTGTTATGAACAGCTAAAATAATCTTCTAAATACCTGTTTCACATAACAAGTGGTTGCAAGTAAACGTTTGAATGTGAACTCTTGGAAATATGCAGTGATTAATTTGTAAAACTTTGGATAATCGTTAGCTGTCGACAATCGATATCATTCATAAACTTCTAACAAACCTGCAGCGTTAATGACCTAATCGAACAACATATCGTGTTTACCTAAAACCTCCAAATTTTCTATCGACAATTTATTGGTATTTACTCTATTAATGACAATAGACCAGCTTCAAGTTACAACACCATCAGTCGGTTTTCATGCAAGAATGGAAGGGTTGATTTTAAGTTCGCACGATTTTTGCGCTGGATTCCCACGTTCTGATGAATTATTGAACAGTTTACATGGTGAAATCAACGCCCCCTATGTAGACAAAATTGAAATGTATTTACGCCAGAGCTTGCATGTTTCTAGGTAATAGTGGAACTTAAAATTTGTCTATTGCGTAATTGTGTATGCTACTGTAGAATACTTTATTTTCGCTTGGAGTTACCGGTAATTTTCGATATTTTTGCTGAAGGCATGATTCAGTGAAAGTAAAATCCAGCGAATATACCTTTTTTTCTATATTTTACATTCAACTCGTCAAAAATCAGTGGAAATGAATTCCATACAAAACACTCAAATTTTTTTCAGCGAAAATTAATTCCAGCAAAAATAAAGTATTTTACAGTACTCAAAAAGTCAATATAGTGAATTATACGTACTACCGGTACATGCAATGATGCAACCAAGATTTACAAATACACTAATACTGTTTTTTTTTAAAGTGGTCTGTGAATGAAAAGCCTCCTCATTGGAAAGATTTGACCCATTTGACCTTTGGCCTCTTACTTGACCCTGAATACAGCATGAGAGTACTTGACATGGGACCCCCGGCAGACTCACAAGAAGTAAGTCACATCAGACTATAGAGGGTGCTGTTCTGTTGATAGGTAGATTAGTCATTGTGAAACTGAAATATTCTCGAAATTGATTTAAAAAGTATAGTAGTTGCATGAAGCTGAATTTATAAACTAAAAAATATTTTATGCGTGAATGTTAAAACTGATTTGAAAATTGAGATACTAGTAATATTTTTTTATTTTTTTGGCCATAACTGTATTTTCTGTAATTTCTTCTTTAATTTTGGACCAAATAGACATTATTTCTGAATAGTTACAGTTCTCAATAAAAATTTTGAAAAAAAAATAAGTTTATTTTTAGAAAAGTTAATTGCCATTAAAATTTATTGCATGAATATTAATATGTTGTAGTTTCCAATATTTGTTATTTCGTTTCCTTTTGCACAGGCTGCTGATTTCAGGCAATTCTGGGGTAATAAAGCTGAGTTGCGTCGATTCCAGGATGCTAGTATTTGTGAGGCTGTCGTGTGGCCATGCATGACAATGGCAGATAAAAGACTTGTCTGCAACCAGATTATTGTACACCTACTTAAATTGTGAGTCTTTAATTTTGACTGCTTTGACCTCTGGATGTGTCCCGTCTATCAAGCCTTATCACACACTGCTCACACTGATCAAGTTCAAATATCACATGTCATATTGGATATTTGCACATGAATTTGTTTACAGCAAGTCTCATAAGTATTGGGGCTGCCAATTTGCAAACTGCTTGGGGTTTGACTAAACAGTTGGCGCTAACTCATGGCCGCATCCACTCTGGGCGAGTCTAAGTTGCATTAGGGACATAGAATGCTTTTATGTCGCCTGTAGTGCATGTCTAGATTTCCCTGAATTATTTACTTTGTTACGAAGTGTGATAATGTAAAAGTAGTTTCCCTGGTAAGCCTGAAAATTTCCACAGTCAGCTGGCGTAAAGCGATATATCATAAATGCGATTATCCACCG